CGCCCCCCCCAGCGCCCCCCGCTTCGGCGCCTCCGGCGGCGCGGCCCAATCCCGTTATCCCGCCGGGCCGCCTCCTCGCTCCCATTGGCCAGAGCCGCTGATCGACATCCCTCCGGACCAATCGCCGGCGCGGCAGCGGCCGGGGGCGGGACATCCTGCGTGCCGTGCGGCGCGGGCCGCCCCCGCCGCCCGCCCGGAGCTGCCCGGAGCTGCCGCGGCCTGGGCTGGGCCTGCCCGCGCCCGGTGCCCCCCGGTGCCCCCCCGGGACCGCCCGGAGCCGCCATGCCACACAGCTTCAAACCTGGAGACCTCGTCTTCGCTAAGATGAAGGGCTACCCGCACTGGCCGGCCCGGGTGAGAGACCTGCGGGGCCGCGCCGCAACCCCCCCCCCCCACCTCCCAACCCCGGGGAAGGGAACGGGGGGTCCCCGACCGGGATGGGGGTGGGAGCAGGAAGGGGGGAAGAGGGTGGGATGGGGGCACGCACCGGCTGCTGTGCCTGCACAGGAGGCTCCTGCCGGGATGGAGGTACCATAACGGTGCATGGACCGGGATGGGGACGCGGGACCGGGATGGGGATCCCGAACCGGGATGGGGATCCCGGACCGGGATGTGGAAACGGGACCGGGGCGGGGGGAAACGTACCGGCCCCTATCCCGGGCCAGGAGACCCAAACCGGGATGGAGATGCCATAACGGGACCCGGACCGGGATGAGGATCCTGGATCGGGATGGGGGGGCGGTCCAGGGGTGGGGGGTCGGTACCGGGATGGAGGTGCCATAACGGGACCGCTACAGGGATGGAGTGCCCTGTACCAGGGTGAGAATCGCGTACCGGGATGGGGTCCCGGTACCGGGATGGAGGTGCCATAACGGTGCCTGTACCGGGGTAGAAAGGTCTGTACCGGGATGGGGTCCCGGTACTGGAATGGGGTGTCCGATCCCGGGATGGGATGTGCTGTGCTGGGATGGGGGCCCGGTACCAGTGCAGGGCTCCCATTCTGGGATGGGGGACCCTATTCTAGCACCCACACCGAGAGGGGGGCTTGGAACTGGAACGGGATGTCCTGTACTGGAATGGGGGACCCCGTGTCAGCACCTGTGCCAGGATGGGAGCCCTGCCCTGGGATAGGGTCCTGCCCTGGGATGGGGGTCCCACAGCAGCACCTGTACTGGACCTGCAGTTTGATCCTGGGAGGGGATCAAACAGGTGCTGTGTTGGTGCCTGTACTGGGATGGAGAATCCCAGACTGGGATGGGGGTCTGGCACTGGAACTGGGGTGCCGTGCTGGTACCTGTGCTGGGAGAGGACCCATAACCAGGCTGGGGGTCCCATCCTGGCAACTGTTCCAAAGGGAGATGGGGGGTGGGTCCCACACTGGTGTCTGTCCCTGGATGAGGGACCCCTGGGACCGTGGCCTGGGGACCCTGCCTCCAGTGGGGTGACCCCAACTCTGGGGTTGCCTCTCACAGCCACCCCCAATATCCCAGCAGAGTCCTGCCCTTCATCCTCCATCCTCATCCCCCATTCCCATTCCCAGCTCCTGACCTGGACACCACCTGCTCTCCGTCCTCACCGTGGAGGGGGACGCAACTGGGGTCTGTCCCTTGTTGAGGACAGCAAGGGGGACATGCTGGGTGTGACACGGGTGTGTGTGGGGGGGTACTGCGAGTGCTCTGGGGGTGCTGCTGCTGTTTTGGGGAGGTTCCTTGTGGGGCCAGCTGGTCCCACCGTGGGGTGACAGCGTTGTTGCCGCGGTGCTGCCCGGAGGAGCAGCTTGGTGAGGGACTGCCGGGCGTCCCAGGCCGGGCAGGTCCATCCTCTGAATGTGTGTCCCGTGGGAAGGGACCGGCAGGTGGAAGCCGTGTGGGATCGGGGAGGCTCCGGGCGCCGGAGCTGACACCGCTTTGGCTGCACCACGCTGGGAGATCCAGGATACCACCACCACCTCCTCCTCCTCCTCCTCCCAGGAGAGCCCTCGTGCTGCTGCAGCCCCTCTGCTTTAGCTCGCTTGCTTTGTCTGGGGAAGGGTCCCCCCCACCCTGAAGACCTCCCCGGGGCTCCCCCCGCCCGCCCGGAGCACAGAAGACTGGGGTGGCCCCCGCACATCCCAGGGCTATTCCTGCAGCCGGGAAGGACCCTCAGGCCGCTCAGCAATCGTCCCCTCACCCCTTGCTGGGGCATCCCTTGGGGCGATGGATCTGTGGGGAGTAGCACGTGGAGAGATGACCCCGCGCCGAGCTCTGCCCAGACCCCTCTGGTCACTCTTGTAAGAGGTCCCGCTGGGATCCCTCAGGGACTCTGCTCCGTGGCCAGGGCTTTCTTGCCACCAACAGGGACCCCCCAATCCAGACCCTGCTCCCCAGCCAGGGCGCTGTCCTGGGGGGGCTTCCCCGCCGCGGGTGCCGGAGGCCGACGCCGCTTTGCCGGGGCTTGAGGACGTTGTCGCCGCTCTGTGTCACCGCCCTGTCTGACCACCCCCCTGCTTTGGGTTTCCTTTCAGATCGATGACATCGCGGACGGCGCCGTGAAACCCCCCCCGAACAAGTACCCCATCTTCTTCTTCGGCACCCACGAGACGTAAGCGCCGCCCCCGCTGTGTCCCCCCCTCAGCTTCGCCGGGCCCCGCCGGCGCCCCGGCCTCACCTCTTGCTTTGTGTCTCTCTCCTTCAGAGCCTTCTTGGGCCCTAAAGATCTGTTCCCTTACGAAAAGTACAAAGACAAATATGGCAAACCAAACAAGAGGAAAGGCTTCAACGAGGGGCTGTGGGAAATCCAGAACAACCCTCACGCCAGTTACAGTGCCCCTGCGG